CTCTAACCCTGCACTGGGGCATCTCTCCCTCCCCCCAGTAAAGCCATCTCTTGTTTGTAGCTCTCCAAAGAGGTATTAAAAATCTTTAAGTCTTGGGCCGGCGCCGCGGCTCAATAGGCTAATCCTCCACCTAGTGGCGCCAGCACACCGGGTTCTAGTCCCGGGCGGCCGGATTCTGTCCCGGTTGCCCCTCTTCCAGGCCAGCTCTCTGCTGTGGCCCGGGAGTGCAGTGGAGGATGGCCCAAGTGCTTGGGCCCTGCACCCCATGGGAGACCAGGAGAAGCACCTGGCTCCTGCCTTCGGATCACCGTGGCAGCCATTGGAGGGTGAACCAACGGCAAAAGGAAGACCTTTCTCTCTGTCTCTCTCTCTCACTGTCCACTCTGCCTGTCAAAAAAAATAAAAATAAAAAAATAAAAATAAAATAAAAAAAAAATCTTTAAGTCTTAAGAGATGGCAAATCACTAGATTCACGGGACGAGAGTCTAGGCTAAGGAGGAAGGAGGGAGGGATTCCTAAAATTCAACAGAGGAAGGTACGAGCCCCTCTGCTCTATTTTGCCTCCAGAGGGTTGTGACACCGAACTACAGGACTCCCAAGTCTGACCTTGAGACAGCAAAAGGAAAGACAAGGACACAGAGTGAGCCCACCAGCTTGTGAAATAAACAAGTGTTCCTGTTGAAAGGGAATGTTAAATGGGCTTCAGAACTCTGAGCCACAAAGACAAGCTTTTTCTACTTAAGAGACACAAGTTACAGTGGGTGCCACACACTGATGTGATTTTAGCAAGCCTTCTCAATTCACAATTAACTGCAGCATAAGCAGGAACCCACAGGACTGTGCTCCCTCTCTTTGCTCCGCACCTTTCCCAGACATCTATCTCATGCCAGTCCCAGGAGCTGTGCCTGTGTCAGAGGCTGCTCTAGGAGCTGTACTACCTTCTCCCAGAATGTCACTTACACCAAGTTAATAATGCATGAAATGTCCCAGCCAACAAACAACTGACTCGGGAACACTGAACAAGGTAAGACAGCAGACACTCTCATGGGACACATCATGGGCTTAGGCTGTAAGACATTCTAACTATTTTGGACTTTCCTTTGCCTTTACTGCTATGATCATCAAACATGAAGAACATTCCAGAGAAATCCACCCTGTATTCTAGGCCACTGTATCCAGAGCTGCTCATTGTAACACATAGAATACACGTCTGCCTACCACTGCTGGATTAGATATCATCTCTAGCAGAGGTGGGGAACCTTTTTCCTGCCAAGGGCCATTTGGATATTTACAGCATTATTCGTAGGCCGCGCAACATTATCAACTTAAAAATTAGCCTACTTGCTCTGGCCGTTGCAGCCAACTGGGGAGTGAACCATCAGATGGAAGACCTCTCTCTCTCTCTCTCTCTCTCTCTCTGCCTCTCCTCTCTCTGTGTAACACTTTCACAAAAATAAATAAATCTTTTAAAAAAATTAGCTTGCTTATAGATTTATTGAATTTCGAGTTCCACATGCAATTGCCTTGGCAGGAAAGGACCAAATGAGTTTGCAGGCCTTATACCCCTAATATATAGGATGAGTGTTTCCCACCCCCATCCAATTTGGAGCCCGACTGAGGGGTAATGGGGACCCTGGCTCAATATCAATGCAACAATGTACTTCCTACCTACTTACAACTTGTGTTGCAGTGGATCTCTTGCTGGATTTTGGAGCTACTCTAATTCCACACTGCTCTTGACATCCTGTTCTCCCCACCCCACCAACCAGTGTCCAGATCCCTTAGGGAGACTCTGGCTTACAATCAAATCATTTGCACTCACCTGGCTCCCTGCACAGATGGAAGTTATTTATTAATCTGTAGTAGAAATAAAAAATAAGGTATATAATACAGAACGTCTGTATCTTTATTATCAGGATGTTCAAGACCCAACAGCAGTGCCAATGGCAGAGGGAATCTACAAGGGCACTTAGGAAAGTTCATGGAAAAGTGAATTAAAATGTAGGTTTAGGGGCAGCCACTTGGCCTAGCGAGTGGTTAAGATGCTCTCGTCCCTCATCGGAGCACCTGGGCTCGGCGCCTGACCACTCCAGCTCCTGACCACTCCAGCTCCTAACTGCAGGCACACCCGGGGAGGCAGCGGTGCTGGCTCAGTGATGGGTTCCTGTCACGTGGCACACCTTCAGCCCCAGCACAGCCCCAACAGGCATCTGAGGAGTGCACCAGCTGATAGAAGTACTCACTCTCTATCTGCCAACTTCTCTCTCTCTCTCCCTCTTCTCCATCTCAAATAAATAAATATATTTTTAAAGAGATAAGTTTATTTTGGTGTAAAAAAAACTTGCAATCTATGCATAGCTTTTTTCATAATAACTATGACAAAATGAGCTTTTTAAAGACCTCTCATATGCATGGATTTCAATTTTTTTGCACCAAAATAAACATCTTTTAACTCAGTCTTCCAAGGAATTTTTTGAAGTATCCTCATATGCTTGTCAAATGAACATGGTCATCTGAACTAATGCCACATATTCACCAAAACCATCTCTTATTCCTAACTTAAGAATAATTTCAACCACCCTACACATCTGTCCTGAGATCAGCAAATGCTATTATATGCTGTGGGCCAAGACAGTGCTGTCTTGTCCATCTGAACCCTGAAGAAATATTCCATTTTCAGAAACAATTCCCCATGTGAGGACATCTCAGGTCCCTTACAGACTTCCCTACTTGTCATCCACCCTGCCCCATCCCCTGGAAGCTCATGTCTGCTGAGATGAGGGGCACAGAAACTGAGCATAAATGAAAAACCAAAAACATAAGCCCCTTAAAGTATCAGTGCTTGGGGCCAGCACTGTGGTGTAGTGGGTCAAGCGGCTGCATACAATGCTAGCATCACATATGAGTGCTGGTTTGAATCCCCCCTGTTCCACTTCTGATTCAGCTCCCTGCTACTGCACCTGGGAAAGAAGTGGAAGATGATCCAGTGTCATTGTCACTCTGTGGGAGACCCAGATGGAGTCCTGGCTTCTGCTTGGCCCAGACCTGGATGTTGGCAGCCATTTGGAGAGTGAACCAATGGATGGAAGATCTCTGTCTCTCTCTGTCACCTTGTTTCAATTAAATAAATAAATAAAATCTTTAAAATTTTTTTAAATTAATTTTTTCAAAGGCTTAAGTTATTTTTTAAAAGAAGATTACTATAGGAATCTGGCCTCTTTTTCTAAAGATTTTATTTATTTATTTGAGAGGAAGAGTTACAGGCAGAGAGAGGGAGAGAGAGAGAGAAAGGTCTTCCATCTGCTAGTTCCCTTCCCAAATGCCTGCAATGGCCGGAGCTGAGCCAATCCAAAGCCAGGAGCCAGGAGCTAGCTTCTCCCTGGTCTCCCACAAGGATGCAGGGGCCCAAACACTTGGGCCATCTTCCACTGCTTTCCCAGGCCATAAGCGGAGAGCAGGATTGGAAGTGGAGCAACCAAGAGTTGAACCGGTGTCATACGGGATGCTGGTGCTATAGGCGGTGGCTTTACTTACTTTGCTACGCCACAGCACCAGCCCTTAAAAAATATTTTTAAGATTTATTTATTTGGGCCGGCACCATGGCTCAATAGGCTAATCCTCCACCTTGCGGCGCTGGCACACCGGGTTCTAGTCCCGGTCGGGGTGCCAGATTCTGTCCCGGTTGCCCCTCTTCCAGGCCAGCTCTCTGCTATGGCCAGGGAGTGCAGTGGAGGATGGCCCAGGTGCTTGGGCCCTGCACCCCATGGGAGACCAGGAAAAGCACCTGGATCCTGGCTCCTGCCATCGGATCAGCGCGGTGCGCCGGCTGCAGCGGCGGCCATTGGAGGGTGAACCAACGGCAAAGGAAGACCTTTCTCTCTCTGTCTCTCTCTCTCTCACTGTCCACTCCGCCTGTCAAAAATTAAAACCCAGAAAGAAAGAAAAAAAAGAGATTTATTTATTTGAAAGGTGGAGACAGAGAGATCTCTTCTATCTGTGTGTTCACTCCCCAAATGGCTGCAATGGCCAGGGCTGGGCCAGGCCGAAGCCAGGAGCCTGGAGCTCTATCTGGTTCTCCCACATGGGTGGCAGGGTCCAAGTACTTTCCAGGTGCATTAGCAGGGAGCTGGATTAGAAGTGGAGCAGCTGGGACTCAATCAGCATTCATATGGGATACTGGCATTGTGGCAGGTGACAACGCACTATGCCATGACGTTTGCCCCTAAAAAAATTTTTTTTTAAGTATTAGCACTTAAAAATCCTGCTCTGGGACCAGCATTATGGCACCATGAGTTGAGCCACTGCCGGCTTCTCATGTAAGCACCAGTTCCGCCCTGGCTACTCCGCTATGGGTCCAGCTCCATGCTAATGCTCTTGGGAAGGCAGCAGGAGATGACCCAGGTGCCTGGGCCCCTGCCAGCCACGTGGGAGACCAAGATGGAGTTCCAGACTCCTGGCTTCAGCCTGGCCCAGCCCCTGGCCATTGCAGCCATCTGGGGAGTGAACCAGCAAATGGAAGATCTCTCACTGTCTGTCTCCTGCTCTTTGTTACTCTGTCTTTCAAATAAATTAAAAAAAAAAATCCTTTTTTATTTTTTAATGCCAAATGACTCAGGGACCAGGGTTGGTGATCCAAGTCAGGCTGCATTAGATAAATCCATGCATATGTATGTAAACTGGATATAGATACCTCCCCCTTGCTCAAAACCTTGTCTTACAGAGTACCCCCACCAAGGTGCAGAGCACTGGAGGGCAGAGGTCTGAGCAGAGCTCCGGGAACCCCGTGCATGGGCACCACGGGGGCAACACCACGCCCGTCACCAGCCCACACGTAGCAGTTGCCTCACTCCTCACCCTTCTCTCCCCATTCCTCTCTCCCTTTTCACCTACAGACTGGTAGTGGGGACTACTGCCTTCTAAGTCGATTAAATGGCCAAAGAACCTATAACTACTTGATCCTTTTTAAAAGGACAAATAAACCTAAATTTAATCCAACTTACCCTTGTTTCCCAGGAGAAAGGAGCCGAGTGCTCATCTTGCCAAGTTATGTCCTAAAATAAAAATCCAAGAATTAATCTGAAAGCCAAACCCAGACATACCCCACGCAAACCTCCATCTACCAAGGGCCATGAGGAATCCAAAACCCAGGAATGACCCCAACTCCCAGCTGTAAACAGTCCTGGTTGTGCTGCTTGGAACGCAGGGTGTTGACCCCCTTGGGTTTCTTCCTCACCTCCCATGAAGGCCGCCAGCCTCCTCTCTCCTACCAGGCAGACACAGAGGGAGGCCACCTAGAACCGGAAGAGCACTCGACCAGCCTGGTCAAGTCCCAGCCCCACCAGCGGTCAGCCATGGCCTTTTTGAGCCCAGTTCCCTCGTCTGTAAAGGAGAACCCACTGCCCTTGCAGGGTCATTGTGAACATGAAATGAGGTAACCTCTAAAAAGGAGGCCAGGTTTTAATCTGCGGTCGATGCTAACATCTAAGTCCTCCCCTTAGCCTCCCATATGCCGGGAGAGATCTGGAAGGATCAGCAGAATCAATGAAGAAAACGTGAATTTAATTCTAAGGAGAACACTGAAATTGTTCCTTTCCCTCTCCCAGCAGACCACTATAGAAAGGGCCCTTCAGGACAATCACTGCGAATTCGGCCTTGGGTCCCGCAGGTTTCGTTCACTGGTCTGAACAAATGCCTCCAGGAAACCACCTCTCCCCTTGGCCTCCCCTTCCCCTCCCTGGCGGGACTCCCATGCTGGCAAACATCTCACCCACACCTAGCTTCTCCTGGGGAGAAAGACACAGGCTGGACACGGGATAAGCTATTTTAAACTGAGTCTGATATTTTTATTTATTTATATTATTTATTATAGTCCTATCTTACCCCTCCCTCCAAGAAGCTCCAGGTAATGTACATCCTTCCACAAAGGACCCCTCCCACACAGGGGAGCACCTGCCCCTAGTCAGGTGATCGGACAGCCCCCTCGCAGCATTACTAGAATGAAATACCTGAGGCTGGGTACTTCATAGAGAAAAGAGGTTTGTTTATCTCACAGTTCTGGAAGTTGAAGGGCATGGCACCAGCATCTGCTTGGGTGTGGAGGATCATCTATGGGGAGCCATCACACAGCCAGGCAGGGAGCCAGAGAGGTGACTTCTCACCAGGCCCCACCTCTTAAAGGTCCCACTGCCTCTTAACATCACCACAATGGAGACCACGCTGTCAACACAGGACACACACCAACCACAGCACTTCTCCTGCACAGAGCAAATCAGTTCTGCTCACGGGCCCTCTTCCCTCAGTTTCCCTCAGAAAGGCCACTCCACCCCCAGCTTAGTCTCAAAGATGATTGTAGAGACGGAGGGTCCACACCAGAGCCCAGGGGCAGGATGTGCAGGGTGGGGTGGGGCGGGGGAGTGCCTTACAAACGCATTTCAGGGTCTGGGCGGCTGAAGGCCTGTTCTCAAGGAGAGGGGTCGGGATGAACTGTGTGATAACTCCCCAGCACACCCCACGTGCAGCCAGCCCTGGATCGCAAAAGAGCCGGGCCTCTGCCGCCCTGTCCTCAGTGACCGGAAGTCACAGGATCCACACCCACACGCGCTCAGAGTTTGTGAATAAAGGAGATCCACCCCCCACCAGGGCTGATTTTCCTCCCCAACCCTCACTCCAAGTCTCACCAATGTGCGTGTGGCCCCAAGCCCAGGTTATTCAGGGTTCTTGGCCCCGTTCGGTGCCAGTTCTGTGCCCAGCCATACTGGGGACAAACATCTGGCAGCCAGGCTGTAGGGACTGGTGCATCGGTGGCACAAACCACTTCATATCTGCTGGGTGGACCCCAGAGAGGAGCTACCTGGGCCTTGATGTTCTCAAGTGTGTATAAAAGACTAAGCGCTGTATATGTGCATCAGGACGCAACAGAACTAACACAGGGGCTAATCATAAACACGAAGAACTGCAGAAGTAGGGGGCGGGGAGGGGGCAGGCCTAGCAACTGGGGGACGCTGCATTAGAGCACTTTCAAACACAGACAGTACTGACTGATAGTCACCTTCTGCACTGTAAGAAGTTCCCCATCAATAATGCACTGTGTTCGTTCCCACATAGCAACATCAGATTGGGCCCCTGACTCCTGAACTGGCTGGCATCCTCTCCTATCATTCAGGGCTGCTGGAAAACCGAGAGGGAATGGGGTCACTGCCTTCCCATGTGGAATCACAGTTAAACCCAAGTTACTTCCCAAAGTACAAACTCTGTCCTTCCAAAAATGGAAGTGGCTGTCTGGAGGAATGTGAGTTGCCAAGGCTTGGTGACCAGACGTGTCCCAGCAGAGAGCAAGGGCCAGAGGCTGAAGAGCTGCAAGGGGCTCCTGGGGTCCCTCGCTGCCTGCTGAGCTAAGTGACCTGGAAGTCCCTACGGTTCTGAGACATAGGATGCTCCAAGTTCAAACAAGAAGGGCTTTGTTTTCAAATGGGAAAAAATAAAGGAGGCCCACGTAAACAGCATTTATTCTAGACATGGGCCTGCAGGGAAAGGGAAAGGCAAGTCAACTGGCAAAAGTGCCCCTCCCAGGCAGAGCCGACAGCCCCTGGCCGCCTCGGTGGACAGAGGACATGTGTGGAAATGATGGGGTAGGCAGCAGGCAGGGGCAGGACCACCAGCCCGGGGCAGGGTGTGTTAGAGCGGGACCCCCATCACCTTATACAATCTGTCCTTTAAATATTAATTATGCAACTTGAGACCCTTTGCAACCTGCAAAGATTAAAATCGTAAGGCTTTTGGCTTTGGAGGGGACTGAGCACAGGCATCCGAGAAACAAAGCTTTAGCCTGGAGCTGGGTGAGAGCTGGGCCTCCTCCAGTGGCTGCAGCCCACAGGAGCTGAAATTCCACGGGGGTGCAGGCCAAGAGAGGGGCACACGGGGATGTCTCCCCGTGTCAAGATCCTTTTGTTTGCTCTAGCAAGAAACCAAGTCAAGGGGCAGATTCCTTGGATTTCTGTAATTCTGAGCTCATAAAAAATAATAAAGCACTTAACAAAAATAAACATGCCGAACAAAAATGTGATGGGAGCTCTGGTGTCGGCCACCGGCCACACACGCCAGCCACAGAAAGCGTTTGCAGCAAGGACAGGCTCCCCAGGCCGCTGGACAAAAACTGCATGAGGACTGCAACGTGCAAGGAGTCCCCTGCCCCCACACGCTCTTATACACTCATACACCCACTTGCACTCACAACCCTCGACTCCCACACTTTATCAGCAGGCAGCCAAACTGTGGCTTCCTCTGGGATTGCGTGGAAGGCTGCTTGCCTACCTCCCTGGGGCCCAGCATCTGACGCTGTCCAAGCCCCAAGACAGATCTGTTACATGCCCCAGGACATGCGTGGGCTGCATGTTGGCTGAGAATTGTCCTCAGAGTCACATTCCTCTTTGTAAGAGACATTCATACCAGAGGCAACACTGAGATCTCTCTGCGAACGATTTCTTCTCTGGAGGTCAGCTCAGAAAGATGCCTCCGGTCACCAGATCCCACAGGAAAAAGCCAGGGAGGGAGCAGCAGAGAAGCCAGGGACTGCCAGGGGACGCAGAGTGCTCGGTGACTGATTTTCAGAGGCCAGTACTGTACCTCGGGAGACTGTGGTGCCCAGGTGGCACCGAAGACTCCGGGGTGGACATATACACACAAACCGTCTGCTCCTCTACGGCCCACAGGCTGAGCACGTGCCCTTCTCAGGGAAATGCTCACTCAACACAGAGCCAAACAGCGAGAGCACGTACGCTCTGCACGCAGGACTGCAATACACACTTGCTCGAAAGCTCCAGCACTTACTACTTTGCTGCTTGGTGAAGAACAGCTCTCAGAACATGCAGATCTTTGTGAGCTCTGGCCAGTTTTACTTCCAGCGGCCTGCAATGAGCAGGGTCGCACCCACTCATGAAGGCTGGCCGTGAATTATTTTAGGAATTTCTTGAACCTGCTGTTAAACACAGCCATGAGTCCAAGGTGAAATTAGGGGCGGGCATTTACCCTATAAGTTAATTAAGATGCTCACGTCCCATACTGAGTGCCTAGGCTCAAGTCCTGGCTCTGGTTCTTGATTCCAGCTTCCTACTAATGCACACATTGGGAGGCAGTGGTGATGGCTCAACTTCCTGATGCCCACGTGCGAGATTTGGATCGAGTTCCAAGCTCCCAGCTTTGGCTGGCCCAGTCCTGGTGATGTGCGGGCATTTGGGAAGTGAACCAGCAGAAGGAAGCTCTCTGTCTCTCAAACAAAAGTTAAGTTATATAGCCTTCCAACCAAATACAGTGTATTAAAAGCAAAGGTAATACACACTCATTCCTGGGTGTCTGCAAGAGATTTGTTTCAGGATACCCTGAGACACCAAAATCCACAGATGCTCAAGCCCTTCACATAAAATGGCACAGTTTATGCACAGAATCTACACACACCCTCCTGACACTTTAAATCATTTCTAGATTACTAATACCTAACACACTGTAAATGCCATGTAAATCATAGTTATGCTGTATTGTTTAGAGAATAAGGACAAGAAAAAAAGTCTGTACATGTTTCAGCACAGGTATAATTGATTTTGTTCAAATATTTTCAGTGCACGGTTGGTTGAATCCACAGATGCAGAACCTGCAGACACAGAGGGCTGGCCGCACTTCACACTCATGGCTACTGTCACAAAGACAGAAAATCACAGGGGTTGGCCGGGATGTGCAGAAATTAGAACCCTGGCTCACCATCGGCAGGAATGTAAAATGGTATAGTCACTATGGAAAACAGCATGGATGGTGGTTCCCCAAAAAATTATCACAGAATTATCATTTGACCCAACCACTCCACCCCTAGGTATATACATACAGTAAAATACTCAGTCTTAAAATTAAAACTGTGAAGGGCCAGCGCTGTGGCACAGTGGGTTAACGCCCTGGCCTGAAGTGCTGGCATCCAAAATGGGTGCCAGTTCAAGTCCCGGCTGCTCCTCTTCGGATCCAGCTCCCTGCTATGGCCTGGGAAAGCAGTAGAAGATGACCCAAGTCC